GAGTATGGAGAAGAAAACCGAAAGAGCATTTTAGATCTCAGCCCTCAAGATAAAGGGCACGTAAGCGAATGTAACTGTAACAACTGTGGCGAGTCAGACGGAGCCTCGTGCTCTTTTGCTTCGCCTCCCTGGTTCTTCTCCCTCCCAAAAGTACCGCAGCATGAATATTAGCATCATTTAAGCAGCCGACTTAACTGTCTACCTTTGACTGGAACACTGTGTTGTTAAAAATAGGCGGCGGCGGCGGCGGGAGGGGGGGAGCGACCAAGGGTCAGCCCGCACACTTGGCTGCGCTGCTTGTGCACCACTTGATGGAATCAGTCTGTTAACAAACACGCCACGGACATCAACGGCAGCCCCCCCCCCACCGGACCAGCAGCTCGGCCTCCTGGCAACACTTGGCTACGGCGCAGCTCCCCGCGGCTGCTCTCCTGAGCCGGAGCCTAATGAACTCCTAACCCCCCCCCCCCCCTCTCCATCCCCAACACTGCAACACAAATCCGCACATGTTCACGTGCAAACACACGCACGGGCAGGCTCACTGCAACAGAACATGCCCGTAATGGGGCCGATATAGAATAAAGGTCGCACTTCGTAGCCTATCACTGTAACAGTACAGAGGTGAGGTCAACCGGCCGTGCAGGCAGCGCTGGTGCGTGCAGGGGGGTGTTTGCACGGGGGGGATGTGCCACTCGATTTGTGAGCGCATGTGGGCAGGCAGCGCGATGCCTTCCGGGGCGCCAGCTTTCAAACCTGCCGCACACACACGCGCACACACACGCCTGTCTGCGCCTGATTGGGCGAACAGCGTCGGGATGAGAGGATGTGTCTGCCGCGGAATTCGGTCGATGCCGCTTGCACCGGCACGACCACAACCCCCCCCCCCCCCACCCCCGTCCCCACCCCCCTCCCCCTTTTCGGCAGGTGGGTCCCAAAGGCAAGTGCTTAGTGATCGGAGCAAAGCCCTGTGAGCGGCTACAAGGAGATTCATGATCCCAACAGTGCTGGGGAGGACAGGTTCTCCGGGACGCGTCGTCAGCGCGGGATGAGAGGCGAATTTTATTTGGTGTTATTCTAAAGCGAGGCGCAGCGGAGCGTGCGGCGGTAACATTTCGACAGCGGGACGGTGGAGGTGTCACACTCATCAAGTACCTGGGCCCGCTTGCCTGCCGCGGCTCTGCTGGTTTTTAGCCTAGGGACTTGTCTGTCACATTAAAGTAGATGCATTGCCATTCAGGGCCTCGGCGGTCCCGCAGTCTGACCATGAAATAGGCCAACTTTCATGTCTGCCTCATCCCTACACGTCGCACCGATGCAGGGATGGAAACGTTTGAAATGTTTTGTTTTTTTTGTAAATTTATTTGAATAAAATTCTAGTCTAGCGGTTGATGACTGAGACAAAAACAGCACAGCAATCCCTTCAACAGATTAATGGGTAAATTGATTTGAAAATTGACCCCGCCTTCTCCCACCATGGTCAATAATCCTAAAGTATATGGGCCTATGTTTAAAGATCGAGCCTTATTAGTGGGCAAATACATCTTATTGAATTGAATATATTTTTTTAATTAAGTCATGATGTCACACATTTTGTTGATCTGGACGGTATTTCCCATCAAATTGAAATCAATTCAAAGAAACAGCAATGCTATGAATTTCACCCTGGAGAAGTTAATATAGTTCAGTTTTTGTCGAAAGGGTTATGAATTTGTAAGTAAATTGTGTACGATCATTATTGATGTAGTGTACTGTGCTGTACGGGTCTCTTATTGTTTTGTCCTCCCTACAAGTGGGCAGATTGTTATAAACACTTCACTATGACCTCAATGCTAATAGTTGAATCAAAATATCTAACATTATCAAAAGAAAATGTCAACGTCACACATTATAAAAAAGCTTTATTGCAGAACAATTTGATTCTCAATTTTTTCTCTGTTGTATAAGTGTCCACTGAGTGTAGATACACACACACACAGGCACACACGGTGGCAACGTTACAACAGCCAACCTGACATGTGAGGTGTTTATTTCAGGCACTTTGGATGGAACATGTCTGACCTTCAGCGGGAGCATATGCTGTGCCGGAGCAGAGTGGCAGCTCTGCAGCGTGTGCCTTTCCACAGGACGATGGCACTATAGCCGCAGAGGAAAAGAGAGAGCTGTCCAGTTTGGAACTGTGACCAGACCGGCTCTAGTCACAACCAGTCAACAGGCCAAGCAGCCCCTCCCACCTCCACCCCCCCCCCCCCCCGTCTATCAAACAGCCACAGCAGCCCCGCGGCCAATGGCCTCAACCACAGTCAGTTACAGTGTCTCCATCACTGTTGGCCAGACCAGCCAGGAACTGACACAGGGTTGGCGGGGACGTGGAGGGGGGGGGCTGAGTGTCAGCCGTATGATGACTGAAAGGAACACCATTCTCAGCATTTGGCCAGGCACTTCTTTGTACTTGTGTGTGTGTGCACACACCTAAATACACGCACGCTCGTCTTGATATTGAAGCAGCATTTGAGCAGCCCCTGCATCAACGTCTGGTCGTTCTACACAGGCAATGTCAGCTCGCCTCGGGGCAGCATCCTCCACAGTGGTCATATGGACAACCAGATCCCTGTGGTAGAATTAGTGATGAAAAAAAAACACATGGCCACTGAGTGACAGTCAGCACACCAGATTCCTTTGGACAGACAGGGCTGCAAATAGCACAGAGGAGCACTTTCTCCCTCGGACTGCAACTGGTGGCCAGGCTCATGCCAGGCCAAGTAGAGCCCGCCAGATGAGCCCAGATAAAAGGAGAACCAGAGGCGCTATAGCGGGCACCCAGTGCACGAGCAGCACCTCGGCCTGGTTATTTCCCTCCTGGATTGACATCAACGCGGCCATGTCTGAGGTTTCTCCTCTACACTAACAAGACAAATGATTTAATGGCTTTGTTTATCTTCTTCTAACCCACGTATGTTTCCCTCTGACTCCTCCGTCTCAAATGAATGATCGAGGTGTAGGGAGAAAGAGAGCGTTTGACAAAGTAGCAACGTACACGAGCATCACCTAACCGCGCTGGTCTCCTCCGAATCGCCGCTTTAGCCCATAAGGTCACACGTAAAGAACATCCGTCTATTGTCGTTTCCATGTCCTTTCTAGTGTGGCCAGATATGGACTAATACTTGCACCATTCCCCAGGAGGATACTGTGTTCCCAGAGGGGAAGGCTGTGGTGTTTGTGTGTGTGTGGGGGGGGGTGGGGGGTGTAGGTGGCGGTGTGCTGGAGCTCTTCTGGAGGCAGGCAGCAGTTGGTGTGCAGAGAGCAGAGGCTCAGGCTGGCTAGTTAAGAGCTTCTCTCTCCTATCCTCCATCTGCCAGGGACCCGGGTTGTGATTTGAGCTCCAGCAGAGCAGAGCAGGGAGGAGATCGGAGGAGGGGGGAGGGGGGGCGCGTTAGTGAGAGGGAGAGGTAGCGAGCGGGTGAAGGGGAGGGGGAGCGTTGGCTGGAAGAGACAGAAAAGAGAAAGTGCAGAAGCGGGAGGAGAGAAGGGTGAGGGGGGTGAGGGGGGTGATGGGGGGGCAGGGAGACCTGGAGTGAGAAAATAAGGGTGGAAATGAAATCTATTCCGAGTCGTATTCTTGTCTGCCATGATTAGACTGTTCTAAATCATTTTAATTCGACCATAAAGAAACGGGGACGTGGTCGTATTTCACCCGTCGCTGGTGTCTTTTGATGTGTCCGTCCAAGAAGTATGAAGCCATGTCCACTGTGTGTTTGTAAATATTTCCCGGATGTCTCAACCCACCCAGCTTGGCTCATGTGACTGGGATTCAGCTCTGCAGTGCTTCACTCCTCCCTCTGCCCCCCCTCCCCCCCCTCTTCCCTCCCCCCCTCTCCTCTTCCTTTCCCTCCCCACTCCTCTCCTTCACTCTGTCAGTGTTTAGCCTGCACCTCAGTGGATACTGGGAGAGCCCCCCCCCCCCCCCCACCCCTTCCCTCCCTTCCTTCTTTACCTCTCCTCGCCTCCTTGTCTCCTCCGCCGCTTTCTTCCCCCCCCCCCCCCCACATCCTCCCCCCTCCTCTCTCTGGCGATGCTGCGGGAGTGACCGAGACCGAGTGTCACTTGAGGTGACCCAGAAATGACGACTCCAGATGAACCCCTGGATGTCCCAAGGAGCCGGGCGGGCATCCCGGGGGTCGGCGCCCTGTCCGTGGGCTCGCTGTATAAACCGAGCCCGCTGCAGAGCCCGTCTGGGTTTCAGCGTCCCGCGCGTTGCGCTGCACAGTGAAATGGATCTGAGTGCTGTTGCATTATTGATGAGATACATTGTGATGTCAGCCCAGGCGGAAGGAGCAGAGCAAAATGACTGCCAGCGGTGTGGCGCGGTGTCATTTACGCAAGCGTGCTGCAGAGGTGTAATTAATTGTCACCCACTTGCTCTCTGAGAGCGTTTTTTACAGGATTCAACCCCTCAATTCACTTGTTATCAAATGAAATCAGTCCACCTCGGGGTGTTTTGTAGGACACCTTCTGCGTGACACGTTAATTCAGACGGAGGCCCCGTGCTTTATAAACAGCCCCATTCTCTAATGAATGTTATTAATAATGGGCTTTTTGTTATATTGCTTAGCCGGTCAAGTGGGTAACAATCCAATAATGCTAAAAGAAATGACTCCAAAGAGCATTCTAGGATGATGAATATGTAAAATGTATTGTAGAAAACTTGACATTATTAAATAATGGTGATTTTTTTTTTTTATCAACAACATTTGTTTATTCATTAGGTGTTGCAACATGAGGCCATGGGTGTGTAGAATGGTTCTTGGCTAAAAACACTCTGTAATGCATTTTTATCAAGTGTGTCTGCTTGTTCCTCCAGGTGAGACACTAGGGGGAGGGGGGGGGGGGGGTGTGAGCCATGGAATTATTTTATTGTTTTTGCTATTTTTGGTTGATTCATTTAATATACCCAGTGATGAAAGTTGACAAATAAACCTGTGAGAAAATGCTTACACAAAAAAGAGTATTGTATTATTTATAAATGAGCCTTTTCAACGTCTATACAGGTTTTATAATACAACACACAACATCTCATTTCTTAACAAATAGCCTAGCACACTTGTTTTAGATTGTTGTCACTACAAATACGTACAATTCAGTAAGTATTCAGCACCTCTATCCCGAAAGTGATTTTTTTTTTATCAATATGAAACCGTGTTTTTCTCAGCAGACCTTGTGTTGCTGCTTCACATCTTTGTCAGATTGACTGATCCGGTTTGGCTCATTATTTATTCACGCAAACTTCCGCTCTCACACCAGTGGAACCGTCGGCCTCTTCATTTAACTTGAACCACACACACACACACACACACACACACACACACAAATACACACACTGTATACTCGTAAAAACAATAGCTGTTCGGTCAACTCCATCTTCTGGGGTTAAAATAATACAAAATTACACTTTCTGATTTGAGATATTCCAGCATCTGCCTGCAGCCAAAACAAACGGCATCTCTTTGCTATTTGGCCATAAGCGACACAAAGAGGATTTCTCCTTTAATGTTCGAATGCTTCTCACACATTCAACCCCTACGTGGTGAGCAGGCCATCGGCTCGTGTGCTTCTCGTTCTCTGTGCGTTACCAGCCGCGCGCCGTGCAGCTGTGTGCGCGCGGGAGAGGAATATTTAAATGTCTCCAATTTTTAATTGACGCTCGATCTCAAAGTGTGCACGCTCAGAAACGAGGAACAGCCCCCATCTACCGGCAGCGTCTCCTCTTGTCTCCTCTGCACACTGCGCGCAGTCCGAAAGCGCCCCGCCAGTGCACAGGGATCTCACGCACTGCACAGGGATCTCACGCACTGCACAGCCGCAGGTAAGACCTTTCTATATGTCTGCTTGGGAGAAACAAATAATCCACGGTAGGCTTGTAAAACAAAACCGCCTTGAAGCAACGCGCGACAGATGTAACGCGTGATAAAACCGGTGCCTTATATTCTCCGGGATAAACAGGGAGGCTGTGGAAGCTAAACTACCAATCATTATTTATTTGTTTGATGGATTTTGCAAACATTTTTTTTAATTAGCTTAACAACAATCAGAATTTTGTAAACATGAGTGAGTGGTATGAAAATCCTGCAAGTTGAACGGCAGTGGAAAATATGAAAATATGTAATGACGCTCTTCTTATAAATCTGTGGGAAAATACGTAATACAGTTTGTTGGATATTTTAGATTTTTTTTTAAATTTATTTATATGAGAAAAGTCCGACCCAGTGAGCCCAGCTTGGTTAAAACGCAATTTTAAATAGGGATAATAATACCGTTTTTAATTTCATTTTTTTAAAGCGCAAAAGAATTGACATGTTGTTCAATATGCTCCAATAAGCAACGATTATTGTTTTTTTAACAGACTTAATTTGATCAAACCAAACAATTGTGAAATTAGGGCAAACTATTCAATTAAACGAAGAATGACACAGGACCGCCCAGATTAATATTCTTCAATACACCTAATTCCAGTTATGAAATATGACGTGTAACATGCATAGCCAGGTTGCTTAATTGGACACAGGAAAACGTTTCAAACGAGAACTCTTATTTGCACTAAAATATATATAATCACCCAAAGCATGATTTTGTGAAACGACAAAAAAGGGTCGTTATGATATATTTAGTTGCGGGTAATATCGGAATTGGAAACAAAGAAAACGAAACGACAATACAATGGCATTATTCCCTCAGCCTCTTGGAGTTCACTGACACATTGTTAAACCCTCTTCAGTCAGATGAAATGTCACTGCTGGCGGCAACGGGTCAACGCAGTGCTTTTTTTATCGACAAGAATGATGTCTTGATAAAATACGAACACGCACACATGCTGCTTTCTTTTATATTTTACTGCCTGATTAAATCCACTTATTGAAATCAGAAGGCGCCTTTTTTTAATTCCGGGGAGAGAAAGAGAGAAAGAGAGAGAGAGCGAGAGAGAGAGAGGGGGAGACAGAACACGGCAGACAGATCAACTATCGCACGGCAGTGAGTTGATCGGTCCTCTCAGGGTGTCTTTGTCCAGGTGAAATGAAATCGGTGTGTCCTTTTCGGGTGTCTTTTCACCGCCCCGTGGCTGCTGCTGCGACACTGACAGAGCGCAAATGAAACGCTTCTCAGAACAGCTGCGGGTCCAGCCCGTCCGGGAGGGCCCTGCCTTGTCTAATACACCACTGCTATCAAGGGGCCTCCAATTAAAGCCAACACAACTTCATGGTGGGGTGGGAGGGGGGGTCTTGAGAAGAAGCATCCACACCTGCAGCCCCCCCCCCCCACACACACACACACCACTCCCTCAGAGCCTCACTAAATCTATTAATGGGACCCAAGCCGAGTCACAGATTCAGCCAGTGTTTCTACTTCTTCACGTCCTCAGCCATAGAGCCAAGCGGGGACCGGAGCTCGTTATCCGGGCCTCAGCTGCAAAGGCCCTGTGCGCGTTGGTCAAACGATGCATCCTTTTTGGTTTGTTGTCACCGTATGTGTCCTGCATGTTGGCCAATAAAGCCATTTGGTCATATTTGCGTAACAGGGGTTTCACACCCTTTAAAACTGGCTCTTAATCGCAGCAGGGTTGCATAAGATCATCAAATCAAATCAAGTGTCCTTCAGGTAAACAACATTTTGACCTGATATAAGAGACAGAGAAAAGACAAGGATCATGTTAATAAATGCTTGGCAGAGGACAATATCCTTTTCGAATGACCGTTTAATGGAGAGGAAAAAAAGGTCATGCACTAAAAAGACCTACAATTATATTTAAAATGCAGACAAAGGATTCGCTTATAGCCTCATCAAAACTATTGATAGAGCATTAAGATTAAGATTAAAAAAATCCCCAAATCTCATTCATTTGTGTAAAAATATTCCTTGTCTTTTAGACTGTTTAATGTAATCTGTCCCCGCCCTCTACTACTGATAACTGCCCCGCCCCAAACAATACATTGTCCCCACACACAAACGTTCACATACGGCATGCAGCACTTGATACGCCTACCAACTAAAACCACCAAAAACAAATGGTGTTTTCAAAGTTTAAAAAACCTACAACGTCAAAATGAAACCAATTGAACCAAGCAGGTCATTTAGAATCAGCGAACGCCATTTCTGACCCTTCACATTAAACTACAAGAGTTCATTCCACTTTAGATGCTTATTATTTGTCCAAGACGTGTTTAAATACATACAATATGACTTCACACCCATTTCCGTTTATGTAACTTCTGACTACACTCCAGCATCCTCTCCTATAAATGGGGGAATACAAGTAATGAAAATGTCAATACCATAAAGTGGTGGTCCTTCGCGCAGACAGAACCGGGAGTTTTTGAGGGGAGAGTGACAGCTCTTTGTTGGTGAACAGAAATCAGTGGCGACGACGAGAGAGCGAGTGAGGGAGAGAGACCTACCTACAGAGTGAAAGGGGAGAGAGGGAGAGGGGAGGGGAGAGTGTGGGGAAGGGAAGGGGAGGGGGGGGGGGGGGGGGACTCCTCCTACCAAATTATTCAGCCTGGGCAGGCTTTGCTCTCTTCACAAATAGGACACGGGGCTCAAATCCAGGCAGTCCCAACCTGACCTCGAAGCGCCAAGGAACCCCTGACTGGGAAACCGGGAGATAGAAACCCCCAAAAAAAGCAACAACAAAAATTTCGTGCCATTATTTTGTTGGCGAGGGTTTTCCCAAAATAGCGCCCCCCCCCCCCTTCCATCCCTCCCATCAACCTCCCAACAAACACAACCAGCAACACCGCATCGCTTTGTCGCGTCATTTGGACTATACATTTTTTTTTGCATTTTTCTTTTTTTCTTTTTTTGTAATTTTTCCTGGAGGAGAGACATTCGCGGGAAGAAAGGGGAAACGGTTGCCGTCGCCGCGACACCACCCACACCGACCTCCCACCCGTCCCTACCCAATGCTTTAGTTTTCTTCTCTCCTTCCAGTTTTTCCCTCTGCGCCGCGGCGGGGAGTTGATCCGCGTCTCGGGGGGCTGCGCGCGGGCTTGTTTTGGGTGCCTCCTCTCGGAGCCCACTTGGATGCGCTGAGAGAGCCGTGCGCAGCGCCGCTGTACGGTATATGGAAGTTGTGGGCTGCAAGAAAGAGGCAGGCAGTTGCAGCGCGTTGCGTCCAGGACCGGGAGCCATGCTTTTCCACGGGATCTCCGGGGATCACATCCAAGGGATCATGGAGGAAATGGAGAGACGGTCGAAAACGGAGTCGCGCCTGGCAAAGGGCATGCAGCTCAACGGGAGAGAGTCGGTAAGAGTTTGATCGAGCAAGTGTTTTGAGTTCATGTTTTAACCGGCACACGTTTAAACGACGTGCGAGGCACCGTGAACGTGCCAGGGAATGTGCATTTGTTTTTTGGGGCGGTGAGTGGAAGAGGGTTGGTCAATTATTGCGTTGTGTTTAATTGTGGTCAAATATGTCAGTCAAATGCTTTAATCAAAATGTATTTTATCAGTTTGAAATCTATTATTTAAAATTGCAAAAGTATCTGCACAAAATAATTACTAAACACATATAAACTTTATGCAGCTTAACGTGCAACTGCACCTAAATAATTTTGAAACACACATTGCTGAAATATAATGATATAGTAATATTCGTTTTGTGGACAAATCTTATCAATTTGAAGATCTGGCAATTATAGATTTGGAAGCTGACAAAAACATGCTACAATGATATAACTATTATAATAATAATATAACTATTTTTGTTTCATTCCTTTACTGGAAAAGAATTACATTTACTACAAATTGTTGTGTTAAGTTGTTTCTTATAAAATACTTCGGACATATTGCTGTTATTAGTTTCTCACTAAAACTATTGAAGTGAGACTGTTTTTGGCATTGACGTACATTACAAACACTAATACGACACTCATACAATAAAAAACAGAAAATGTCCAGAAAAAGACTTAAGGCCTAATCATTGTGTTTTACTTGATTATATATATATATATATATATATAATGTGTGTGTGTGTGTTGCATAAGACCCCCTGGAGGGAAGATAGTTGAACCATGAGCTCTCTTCTCTCTCTTGCACTCAGACCATGCCTTCTATGAGCCCGGAGAAGCCCGCTCTGTGCGCCGGCTGTGGCGGTAAGATCTCGGATAGATATTACCTCCTGGCCGTGGACAAACAGTGGCACCTGCGGTGTCTCAAATGCTGTGAATGTAAACTAGCGCTGGAGTCGGAGCTAACGTGTTTTGCCAAGGATGGGAGTATCTACTGCAAGGAGGATTACTACAGGTAAGACAAATTAAGGTTACACATAGGTGGGGGGGAAAAGAACAGAACAGCTTGGGGGAAATAGTTGGGTCTCAGTGTCCGTATCACGCACGAGAACCCACCCAACGCTATAACAATATTTAACCCACTTTAAATGAACACATAAATACTTTGGAAAAAATATGTATTTTAAAGCCATAACATTTACCTTTGATTCAGCAGGCTTGAAGTATTTTTTCTGGAATTGGGCCTCCTTCTTGATTCATAACAGTCTCAGGAGCCCTGTCAATGGGGATTACGTTATGATATGAAATGTTGCTTTAATTACCCCTGTTTTAGATGTCAAAGTTTCCATGGCTCTGAGTGTAATGTAAACTACATTAGCTTATTAGTTAACCAGGAACAAAGGGCATGAAGTCAAAAAAGCAACCTCAGTGGCTTTTGTTAGCATGTAGCCTTTTGTAGATGGATTAAAATTAACAACTTAAGGATGCACTTTTGAGTCTGTAATGTTTTTTTAATATTTCATAATTCATATTTATATTTACTGTTATTTACCAGATACCATAAGAATAAAATAACCAAGAAATATCCACTTGTGTTAGTTACTACCTGTAGAGTGTCTCTTCTAATGTTGCCCAGAGGTTAGCATTGATGGGTTTCACCACCGAGACACTGAACTGCCTTTTCCTTATTCAAGAGAGGGAATATTCGTGCACAGAAATATATATTTACACCCAAGTAAATGTGGCTTATATCGATCAGCCAACACTCACATGTAGGCCAGATGTGGCTATTTTAAACCATAATGTAAAACCAGCCTGTTATGGTACTGTCACACACACACACACTCTCTTAAGTATGAGGAGTCTTGACGATGTGTCTGTTCCAGAAGGTTCTCCGTGCAGAGGTGCGCGCGCTGCCACCTCGGGATATCGGCCTCGGAGATGGTAATGCGGGCGCGCGATTCCGTGTACCACCTGAGCTGCTTCACCTGCACCACGTGCAACAAGACGCTGAGTACGGGCGACCACTTCGGCATGAAGGACAGCCTGGTGTACTGCCGGCTGCACTTCGAGACGCTGGTGCAGGGGCCGGACTACCACCAGCAGCTCAACTTCGCCGAGCTGGCGGCCAAGGGCGGCGGCCTCACCATGCCCTACTTCAACGGCACCGGGACGGCGCAGAAGGGGAGGCCGCGCAAGAGGAAGAGCCCGGCCATGGGGATAGACATACCCAGCTACAACACAGGTGAGAGCTCTAAACAGGCCCCCAGCAGCGAGTCAGGGGACACACGAGAGACATACCTAAACAAAACCAAAAATCTAAACCACCGAGGTTTTTTTGTTTCAGTGCGGGAAGGAGCTGTATAGTTTGCTTTGGGCAGCTTGTCATTTGGCTTTACTGAATCGACAGAACTTGTTTTGGGGGGACGGCTAAAGCTTCTTTTTTTTATTTTATTTTTTTACAAAACTGCGCTGTAAACTGCTCCTTACGTAGTTTTAATCCATCTGTGGCCCACTGAAAGACCCTGTTGTCCTCGGTCATTGCTGACCTGAAGATACGGGATTTACATTTCTGTTATTTTAAAATACGTCAGAATAAATTATTCAAGTTAAGTAAAATCAATCCAAAAATAAACAACACTAAATACAGTGGCTATGCAATATTATAAATATATATGGAATAGTTTTCCTTTACGCAAAAGACCGTCTCCTTTTAGTCCAGACGGTTCCTGAACGCCTCATCTGTAACAGCCGTAGGTCTACCTTGCATGTCTGAGATGAATGCAGCTCTCCTGCGGGCTATGCTAATGTGGGTGAACTGCGCCTGTGTGTAGCGGCACCCGCAGCCGTGGGCTAATTGATCTGCAGCTTTCGGTCCACGCGTCTGTTACGCGCCGTTTTTTGTGCTTTAAATCGTGGCGTGTGTTGCGCCGAGAATGATCGAAATTTGACCTTGCCGTCAACCTGCGCATTCGACTTTTGTAATAAAGACTAATTTAGGTCAAAATAAAAGTGCACAACGGGCGCGCAGGGGGTCAATGTAGTTCTGGACGGTTGCGTCGAAACTGTCCACACTGCCGTTGTTTGGCACCTCTTTGGCGGGTGTTTTTCGGAGGAAAGTAAAAGAAACAGTCACAGTGAACACGGAGCGGTTGTTAAAACGTGGGTTTCATCTAAAAAAAATCTCGCATTGAATCGCTGAATGTTACAACCCGACCCCCCCGCAGCGTCCCCATTTTGTTGTCGCTTTCTGCGAATTAGAGCGCGGCTGACAAAGTTAGTCATTGTGCACCACGTTTCCTCTGTTCCCGGTGAATGGGGAGGAATAAGGGTAATCTGCGCGTTAATTGTTCTCCGTTAATTGGAGGTGACGTCGGAATCCCCGGCCTCCTGTGCAGCGGTCAGCACGGTTCTCAGGGAGGCGGCCGCGCCGTGCGGAGGGGGGTCGGGGGTCGGGGGGCTGCTGCGGGGAGGCCAGGGGCTCCAAACACAAACAGTGTGCAGTCAACGCTCCGGTTGAAAGGGCTTTTGCTTTTTTGTTATTCGCCAAACAACAAGTCCGAGAGATTATGCAAATGTTAAAAGTTCCCATGGATGGTTTATTATGAATATGTGCCCATTTTGGCAGTGTGGCTATATTTTCTTTCTTTCTTGAACAGCAAGATATAACTATAACTGTAACGAAGCGTTTCAGTAAAGAAAGATGTAAAATATAATGCAGCCACAACAGGTACAAAATATCACGGGAAATGAAAATTCCACAGAGAAAGACATAAATTGCAGTAAGGTATCCCTGTGAGCTCATTATTAAGCGCCACAGACGCAGTAAAGGTCCCAGTGGGAATATTATGTTTTTCATTTGTGATATTGAAATAGAATAGAGAAGACTGACGCAGAATATCATATTTTCTCATTTAAAAAGAGGCCTTTTGGTTTCCTTAAGCTCAAGTGGCATGCCTTTTTTTGTGTAAATGTTAAATGTTTTAATTATGTGATAGATTTAAGACCTCACTGCATTCACGTTAGCCTGCAAATAAAGAAAATTCAAACTATAATTTTAAAACGAAACAAGGGAAAAAACAAATAACTATTTCCCAAAGACTCACTTTCATGAGTAACAGGATGAGGTTTAGTTGGAGGTTTTGTTTCTGCTCCAGCGAGCACATTGGTGCTTGTTTTCACCAGGGAAAGGTTTGTGTCTGCTGAGGATTCAACTCCGCTCTGCAGAGT